CTCAAAGGTTAGTGCCACTTTCCCTGAGGTCTGATCGTGTCCTGCCCTGAGTGGGATCATCTTAACTCATACTGTACCAAACGACTCATCATACATTTATTTGTTATTTCTTACACGATATAGAGGTTAACGGTCGCAAGGATCAACTTTTTTGTACAGGGTTTTATAACACATGGCCCGGTCTCATTAAGCTTAATGGCTAGCTGCCTATTGGGAGAGAGAGAGAGAGAGAGAGAGAGAGAGTTGCACAAAGCAACACAAGTTTGAGGTTTAAAGTTTGAACAACGGGTCAACATCATGGCACACGGGTAGTCACCCATAATTGCTCCATTCTTCTTCTAACTCAAGCCTGAGTCCGACGAAGCTCAGCACAGTGCACAGGATCTGTAGTCCTGGCTAGGATCCTTAAATACTGTGGGTAGATGTTTAACTCTAAATTTTGCCTGGGCAGCGCCGTTAGGATACTCTTTTCAATTTCCAACTGCCAAGGGATTTTTTACGTGCTCAACAATGCACCCGAGCGTCCGATCTCACTACCCAGGGACCAGGGGGAATTACTGGAAGTCCAAGTCCACATGAACAAATCCAAGCCTTTACCGGGAATTGAACCCGAAACCTCTAGCACTCGATGCTGACTCCATGCCTTGAGACCACCCAGCACCCGCACAAAGCAACATTACCCCGTTACTGCAGCTAGGATTCCCATGGATAGCTGTTGGAGCTCTTCTTAACTTATTTCGTTTTATGTAGGACTGACACTTATTTCTTTTCGTGTAGGACTGACACTTATTTCTTTTCGTGTAGGACTGACACTTATTTCTTTTCGTGTAGGACTGACACTTATTTCTTTTCGTGTAGGACTGACACTTATTTCTTTTCGTGTAGGACTGACACTTATTTCTTTTCGTGTAGGACTGACACTTATTTCTTTTCGTGTAGGACTGACACTTATTTCTTTTCGTGTAGGACTGACACTTATTTCTTTTCGTGTAGGACTGACATTTATTTCTTTTCGTGTAGGACTGACACTTATTCCGTTTCAAGTAGGACTGACACTTATTTCGTTTCATGTAGGACTGACACTTATTCCTTTTCATATAGGACTGACACTTATTTCTTTTCGTGTAGGACTGACACTTATTCCGTTTCAAGTAGGACTGACACTTATTTCTTTTCATGTAGGACTGACACTTATTCCGTTTCATGTAGGACTGACACTTATTCCGTTTCATGTAGGACTGACACTTATTCCGTTTCATGTAGGACTGACACTTATTTCTTTTCATGTAGGACTGACACTTATTCCGTTTCATGTAGGACTGACACTTATTCCGTTTCATGTAGGACTGACACTTATTCCGTTTCATGTAGGACTGACACTTCTTCCGTTTCATGTAGGACTGACACTTATTTCTTTTCATGTAGGACTGACACTTATTCCGTTTCAAGTAGGACTGACACTTATTACGTTTCATGTAGGACTGACACTTATTCCGTTTCATGTAGGACTGACACTTATTACGTTTCATGTAGGACTGACACTTATTCCGTTTCATGTAGAACTGACACTTATTTCTTTTCCTGTAGGACTGACACTTATTCCGTTTCATGTAGGATTGACACTTATTCCGTTTCATGTAGGACTGACACTTATTCTGACCAGTGAACTCACCACACATTAGCTGTTTTCTGCTTTTATGATATACCTTGTTTTGAAACTGTCTTGTTCTCAAACCACTAGTTACACTAACCCACCATGCGAATGTAACATTATTTAAACTCTTATCAGCCGCACAATTTATTTCTTCTTCTTTTCTTTCCTCTTCTTTTCCTTCTTCTTCTGTGTCAGTGCCGAAATGCTTGTCTGTCGACCAATTCTCTTTGGATTTTTATTTTAAATTGACCCTGGTTCCCAGGTCCACCCAGTCTTAAATGCGCACCGAGAAGTGTCTTGGGAAGTAAATGTAGACCGGCATGATTGTGACTGTATCAGCCATGGTGTTCCCACTGGTCTATACAGTGCAGGATTGATGTATAATGTACACTTTTGTACACATTAGGCCTAAAAAATATGCAGGGACCAAACAATTTTGATGACATAATCAATGATTATGCATTTGATGAAATCGGGAATTTTTTTTTTTAAAGTTGTAACCTTTTGCAGGATTACAATATTTTCTTCAAGTTCGCTGGCTGTAAACTCCGGCGGAAAAGTCCTGGTTTTTCGTCCGCTTCTAGACTCTAGTCCTGTTCCAGAAACTGAGTGTTACATGTGCATCCGTTTCACAGGTCTGCGTTATTTTTATGCAGACTGTTGGTTCCTTGCCTCTCAAGCAGATGTACTTCGACTTCAAAGGAAGCTCCCAATTAGTCGACTCTTACGACATGCTTTTGGGCAGGCAGTGGGTCTATTCTTGTTCCCCCCCCCCCGCCCCCCCCAATGGGGCCCCGAAACCCACACGGGGAGGATTACAGTATATAATTTCTGTGATTTTGCAAACACATTCTTTTTTATTTCTTTTAAGTAAACTATACACCACAATATATTTCCATTTTCCTTATATTTAAAAGGCGTATATATTTTTAGTCGGCTCTGTGGCTAAGTCGATGCGAACGCTTAGCTTCGTAATGCCGGGATGCCAGGTTCGATCCCAACTGCAGGCAATACCCCTTGCGTTGGTTTCGACAGTGGTATCAAGAAAGCCGACCGTCCAGGAAGCAATGGCAAACTACTGGATGTAAATTGCCTAGAGAAACCACACAACAGCCAGGGGCTGTTACTGTTGGTTCTGCAACGTCCTGTAAAGGATACGCAACTAACTTTATTTAAAATTTTTAAGTTTTCTGAGATTAGCTTTTTTTTTAAATGGTAGGGGCCTCAGGGCTATATGAATATATCTGAGGACCTCATCACGTCTAAATCCAGCCTTCGCTTCATAGAATATGGGCCTAGCATCATATACCCAGTGCCCACTATCGTAAAAATTGTTCTTTGCTTGTAACTTTGTGGAGAGGGTTTTAGCTTGTAACTTTGTGGAGAGGGATTTAGCTTGTAACTTTGTGGAGAGGGATTTAGCTTGTAACTTTGTGGGGAGGGATTTAGCTTGTAACTTTGTGGAGAGGGATTTAGCTTGTAACTTTGTGGAGAGGGATTTAGCTTGTAACTTTGTGGAGAGGGATTTAGCTTGTAACTTTGTGGAGAGGGATTTAGCTTGTAACTTTGTGGAGAGGGATTTAGCTTGTAACTTTGTGGAGAGGGATTTAGCTTGTAACTTTGTGGAGAGGGATTTAGCTTGTAACTTTGTGGTGAGGGATTTAGCTTGTAACTTTGTGGAGAGGGATTTAGCGCAAGCCTGTAAAGGGGTGGGTCACTCTAGCCGCAGTACCAGGTCGGATCTGTTACTGTGGCTAGATTTACTGGTAGAGTGGCATGTCTCCGGTTGCCTTCACGTTACAGGTGTCAAGAGAGGAGATTGGGAGTCGGAGTCGGGGAGAGATATAGGGAATATGAGAGAGTAAGTGTTAAAGAATGTAAGAGTTAGTGAAGTAAAACTTTGAAGAGAATTTGATTTACACACATACACACAAACAAACGCAAAGAGAGAGAGAGAGAGAGAGAGAGAGAGAGAGAGAGAGAGAGAGAATAATTACAGAGAGAAGGTGTGAGAGAGAAGGACTTGATAGTTGAGAGAGAAGGTGGCGAGGGGGGGGGAGGGGGGACTGACAGAAAAATAAAGAGATGAGACGAAGTGAGAGAGTTTTTGTGAGAGTAAAAGAAAGTGTATGTATAGAAAAAAAAACATAAGTATGAGAGAGAGAGAGGGGGGGGGGGATGGAGAGAAAGCATGAGAGAAATTGGGTAACAGAGACAAAGAAGGACTGTGACAGAGAGTTGGAAAGATGTGATGATAGGGAGATTGAATGTATATTTGATTGTGTAAGAGTAAGAGAAAGTGTGTGTATCAAACATAAAAATTAATATGAGTGAGAGAGAGAAAGGAAGAGACAGTGACAGAGAGAAAGCATGAGAGAGTGCGAAAGAGAGAGACAGAGAATGGCTGTGACAGACAGTTAGAGAGATTGAATGATAGTGAGGAGAATTTATATCTGAATTTGCCTGAGAGTGGACAAAGTGTATCTATCATAAGAAACAATATGAGGGAGCCAGGAGAAAAACAACTGAGAGTAAAAGATAGTGCATGTGCATGTGTGTGTGTGTGATATGTGTGTGTGTGTGTGTGTGTGTGTGTGTGTGTGTGTGTGATGTGTGTGTGTGATGTGTGTGTAATGTGTGATGTGTGTGTAATGTGTGATGTGTGTGTGATGTGTGTGTGATGTGTGTGTGTGTGTGTGATGTGTGTGTGTGATGTGTGTGTGTGATGTGTGTGTAATGTGTGATGTGTGTGTGATGTGTGTGTGATGTGTGTGTGTGTGTGATGTGTGTGTGATGTGTGTGTGTGTGATGTGTGTGTTCCAGCGAGAAGTACAAACTGGGGATAGAACATATTCTGTACTTACCATATCAGAATCAAAACAATGAAAATGTGCCATATACACAAACTAGGCCTCTAATTTCTATGCCTTCTCCTCTCTCAATTTCCTCCTCTTCTCCTCCTCCGACTCTCTCCATTTCCTCGTCTTCTCCTCCTCCCACTCTCTCAATTTCCTCTTCTCCTCCTCCCACTCTCTCAATTTCCTCCTCTTCTTCTCCTCCGAATCTCTCCATTTCCTCCTCTTATCCTCCTCCGACTCTCTCCATTTCCTCCTCTTCTCCTCCTCCGACTCTCTCCGTTTCCTCCTCTTATCCTCCTCCGACTCTCTCCATTTCCTCCTCTTCTCCTCCTCCGACTCTCTCCATTTCCTCCTCTCCTCCTCTTCCGACTCTCTCCCTGGCAACCTGAAGATTGGGACGGAGCGCTTATACTGGTGTCCTGAGTTATGTTATGTCGATTCTCAATTCAGGATTGAACATTCAACTTTTTGGGCCTGTTATTCCACAGCAGAGATTGACAGACTCTATGCTTTTTCCTTTACTTCAAACGACAATATGGAGAAGACCTACGGGTGGGATATGTTTGATCTACAGTCAGACTTTCAGCGAATGGGTGTCTCTAACCAGAACTGGGTGGCCACACATCTGAACAAGCTGTATGAGGTAACAGCTGCTGTGTCCTTTCTGCTTTTCTTCTTTGTGTTTGTTGATTGTTTGCTCTGTTCATTAATGGCGCTGTTTGGACTTACCTAATGCTAAAATCAAGAGAAGATGGAAATGGCTTGGCCACGTTATGAGAATGAAGCCTGATATACCTGCCAAAACAGCTCTCACATGGACACCAGAGGGAAAGAGAAAACAGGGGTGCCCAAAAACAACATGGAGACGAACGATGGAAAGTGACCTGAGTGCGGCATCTTTGACATGGAAAACTGCACTGAAGATTGTACAGGACAGGAAAGCATGGAAAGTCCTCTCTGAAGCCTCATGTGCCACTAGGCATAACGAGAACTGATGATGATGATGATGATGAATGCTATAATAGGAATCTTGTTACATGTTATTTATTACTAGCAGTGCTGACCACGCTTTGCTGTGGCTCAGTCTGGGGAAATGGAAAAGAAAAAAACAAACAGAAAACAGAACACAGCCCGTGTCTGATATGGGTAATATCACAATCGTTGTCTGCGCAAATATACAAATAGTCTGATTTGCCGACTCTAGAACACCCAGCATCTAAGTTTCATTATAGTAGTGATGGGTTCAATTGTATTATTAGGACTTAAAAAAATTTTGGTGTACCACATGCTACAGTTTTTTTGTTGTTTTTGTTTTTTTGTTTAGCTGCATGTAAATCTTACTACTGTATTTTTAAATGACTGACAGACTCGGAAAAAAAATGTTAATAGCCGAGTAGGCTTTTTAAAAATCTAAATGTTTAAAAAATAAGAGCTTTAAAATCATGTTTTATTTTCAATAAAAATCATGTTTTAAGCTCTCTCAGTTAACAGTGACTGTCATCCCTCCCCTCCCCCTTTTCCCCCCATCCACAGAACTGCTCCTGTTTCCCTCTCCGAAGGATTTGAAATTCATCACCTGATTTTTTTTTATTGAACTTGGCATCCGTGCCCACCCCAGACTAAAAACCATCCGTGCCCACCCCAGACTAAAAACCATCCGTGCCCACCCCAGACTAAAAACCATCCGTGCCCACCGCAGACTAAAAACCATCCGTGCCCACCCCAGACTAAAAACCATCCGTGCCCACCGCAGACTAAAAACCATCCGTGCCCACCCCAGACTAAAAACCATCCGTGCCCACCCCAGACTAAAAACCATCCGTGCCCACCCCAGACTAAAAACCATCCGTGCCCACCCCAGACTAAAAACCATCCGTGCCCACCCCAGACTAAAAACCATCCGTGCCCACCTCAGACTAAAAACCATCCGTGCCCACCGCAGACTAAAATAAACTCTAAGCTCTTTCAGTTAACAGTTAATGTCATCACCCCCTTTCCATTTTCTCCTCCCAAATGCACCCACTACTTCTTTCTCCCTCACCGAAGAAATGCCAACATCTTAACATTTCCATTCAAGACTCTTACATAAAAACATGCGCACAGTTGATTGAATACAGCATTGTGTGAAAATTTGAAAGCAATCGGTGAAGAACTTTCGGAGATTAGCTATTGCAATCAATGGAAATTAACTTTTTTATTAATATAGATTTTGTTCCTTTGGGTTTTTTCTTTCCTTATTTTAATCATTACCATCAGTGATACTATTTTGTCTTTTATAGTTCAGGATAATCCCAACTTGCCATCGGTCATACATGCCATTGGACCAGGTCATTTGTTAGCAGAGAAGAGCTACATCTACTCGACTCCAGATATGTTAGCTTCTCTGTTTATGATAATTGTCTTGATCCAAATCTCAACTGGGACAAGATTATTTGCACATCTACTACGGCTTTGGAATTGCTGAGCTTCATTCAACTGGTACCCAATGATTTCATATTTTTCAGGAATCTTTGGTAATAGTTACATTGGTCTCCCCATCGACTGGTCGCCCTCATACTAGCTCACTTTTGATTGGTCGACCTGCAGCCTAGCTAACTTCTGATTGGTCGACCTCGAGCTACGCGACCTTGGGTAACTTTCACGAGGGTGTTCTGCAATGCCGTTACCATGCCAGAGGTTTTAACACTCCAAAAACATTGACAACTGGGTCTAACACATAACCCTTTTAGAGAGTGATGGAACCTATGTCACAGGTAGTCTCTTGCTCGGAATAAAAACGTGAATTGCAACACAACAACAGATCACAACACCCATAACCTTGACCATGGTAGACTAGTCTAACAAACCTATCAACAAAAATTGACCTACTTTCCGTGGGGAGACCAACGTTTCAGTAACCGAATCTGTTATTATCATCATGTGGCATGCCCTTTGCAGAACGCTGCTTTCATCTTAACCTGCCTGATAGAAACTTGGTCTGTCGCAAGCTCGTGAACTTTCATACCCCAGGTGTCAATAATATTCTGGCCCATGGTTCCCAGACAAGCTGTGATTACTAGCCAGTGTTCCTTGATGTTCAGATCTTTTAAGGTGTCAGTATTTCTTTTCTTCGCTGCCCGTGGTTTTCTAAGAATCTTTCTTTAACATATCATCTCAAAAGTCCATATTTGTGAAAGTAACAGAAAACAAGCAGCTCACATCATCATGCCTTGGAGCTAGACTTACCGCACAGGTCTGCAGGTTAAACCAGCTAGGTGTAACTTTTTTGGAGACTGAACTGGGTATCTGGGATTTTCCCTGCTTGTCTGCCACCCAAGATAAGCTGCTGAAAGTCTCAAGGGTGATCAACCCTACAGGCACAGACCTGGAATGGAAAAATACAGTTTATCATTCTTGACACACCACGTGTAGTATACGTTATGAGAAAACTTTCAATTCAAATAACAGTGCAAAATGCGCAGTCAGTGACTTGACAGTATTGCATCTTTACAGTTGTGTGATACCTACCCCAGCCTGCTCTATGTTCCTGCATCTGCAACAACACATGTCCTTGTTGGAAGTTCAAAGTTCAGGAGCAGAGGGAGGCTACCAGTGCTGTCCTATCTGCATTCGACCAACCAGGTTAATATATGTAAACAGTGACTGTGTTTAAATGTGAATTTTAGTTTGATCTGAGTTTCCACTTTGACCGTGTTTAAATTATGTACCAGGCAATGTTGTTGTAAGCACCCATCAAGTGTCAAGTGGTCTATAAAATATGGAGGTAATACAATAGGCTCAGTTAACATGGATATTGAATATGTCACCATTATTAAGATATCCAAGCATAACTATAAATACAGAGAGACAGATAATAAACAGCATATTCATTCCAACATAAAGTTACCAGTGCCAAACATGGACATTGTCTAAAGCCCATATATGCAAAATCACCATCTGAGAGATGAGATGCCTGAGAAAAGCAGCCAACCTAAATATCCAAGATCGAGCGAATAATGAAACTATCAGGCAAATTGTGAAAATGACACCTTGTACTAGATTCATCGGGAAACAGCAGATCAAGTGGTTTGGCCATCTCATTAGAATGCATCAAGATCAAATACCATCACAAACACTACATCTCAGAAGATCAGCTACAAGAGCAAGAGGATAACCACAGAAATAATGGATCAACAACATTAAAGACACTCTACATTTTCACGGCATAACAATAGCCAGTGGCAGCCAACATGCACTGGATCACAATTTAGTCCTCCCCATGCGGCTTAATGGCAGAAGTGGTTTATGATGATAATGATGATGATTGAATATGTACTTTCACTTAATACCATCAAGCCTGTATCCCTTGTTAAGACATAGATTTTCTGCCCAGGACTTTCTATGGTACAGGATAAGGATCAGACTGATAGACTGGCTGCTGCAGCTCCGGGGTGGTGAGCTACTTCATGATAAAGCGGAAATGATAAAGACTGTGAGAGATCAAATGATCAGTGCAGCAGAACAGACAGAACATGCATACTTCAAGAGACTGACTCAGCAGCTGTGGGTCCAAAAAGTTTTTCAACATAAAGAGGTGTATACAGGCAGACTTTTTAGTGTGCAACTGGCACCATCACTTACAGAACTCTTCGTTAGCTACTGAGGAAGGAGGCAAAGCATTTGTGGGAGTAACCTCAGTGCAAAGACATCCATTTTTGATTCATTCTTACTAATAATAGTAGTTCCATCATTATCCTTTGGGAGGGAAACAGTAATGAGTGAACCTGATGCTTGGATGAATGAATGAATGAATGAATGAATGACAATTTTAATGAATATACCCAAACATGAATAAATGAACGACCAATTAATTAAAACGCTAGGGAAATATCATCTTGACTGAGTCATTAGACACACTGCTTCTTAAACAGGGTGCTTTCTTTCAGAGAATAACATTTAAAAATGACATGGCTGCGTTCTTGTACAAACATATCAAGTAAAAAATGAATGCACATACTGTATGTTAATCCAATCACTATTATCATGATTATAAATAAAGTTGGCAATAAAATAGGGGAACAATTTATTGAGGAAAGAAGGATGCCCACAATAAACCTATAGACAAACATTGATGAGAGAGGCCAAAGGTGTTTGCTTAACTTCATCCATAATATTGAAACAGTTGCACAGAATAGATCAGATATAGACGAATAAACTATGAGCCATAAATAATATGAGCAGGATGAATGTTTTAGAAGGTAGAGGTTCTAGAAGGTAGAGGTTTTAAAAGATGGTAGAGGTTCTAGAAGGTAGAGACTTAAGAAGGTAGAGGTTCTAGAAGGGGAGATTTTAGAAGGTAGAGGTCCTAGAACGTAGAGGTTTTAGAAGTTAGAGGCTCTAGAAGGTAGAGGCTCTAGAAGGTAGAGGTCCTAGAACGTAGAGGTTTTAGAAGTTAGAGGCTCTAGAAGGTAGAGGCTCTAGAAGGTAGAGGTCCTAGAACGTAGAGGTTTTAGAAGTTAGAGGCTCTAGAAGGTAGAGGTCCTAGAACGTAGAGGTTTTAGAAGGTAGAGGCTCTAGAAGGTAGAGGTCATAGAACGTAGAGGTTTTAGAAGTTAGAGGCTCTAGAAGGTAGAGGTCCTAGAACGTAGAGGTTTTAGAAGTTAGAGGCTCTAGAAGGTAGAGGTCCTAGAACGTAGAGGTTTTAGAAGTTAGAGGCTCTAGAAGTTAGAGGTCCTAGAACGTAGAGGTTTTACAAGTTAGAGGCTCTAGAAGGTAGAGGTCCTAGAACGTAGAGGTTTTAGAAGTTAGAGGCTCTAGAAGATAGAGGTCCTAGAACGTAGAGGCTTTAGAAGGTAGAGGTCCTAGAACGTAGAGGTTTTAGAAGTTAGAGGCTTTAGAAGGTAGAGGTCCTAGAACGTAGAGGTTTTAGAAGGTAGAGGCTCTAGAAGGTAGAGGTCCTAGAACGTAGAGGCTCTAGAAGGTAGAGGTCCTAGAACGTAGAGGTTTTAGAAGTTAGAGGCTTTAGAAGGTAGAGGTCCTAGAACGTAGAGGTTTTAGAAGGTAGAGGCTCTAGAAGGTAGAGGTCCTAGAACGTAGAGGTTTTAGAAGTTAGAGGCTTTAGAAGGTAGAGGTCCTAGAACGTAGAGGTTTTAGAAGTTAGAGGCTCTAGAAGGTAGAGGTCCTAGAACGTAGAGGCTCTAGAAGGTAGAGGTCCTAGAACGTAGAGGTTTTAGAAGTTAGAGGCTTTAGAAGGTAGAGGCTCTAGAAGGTAGAGGTTTTAGAAGTTAGAGGCTTTAGAAGGTAGAGGTCCTAGAACGTAGAGGTTTTAGAAGGTAGAGGCTCTAGAAGGTAGAGGTCCTAGAACGTAGAGGTTCTAGAACATAGAAGTTGTGAAAGGTAGAAGTTTTAGAAGGTAGAGGTTTTTGTAAGTAGAGGTTCTGGAAGGTAGAGGTTCTGAAAAGTAGAGGTTCTGGAAGTTAGAGGTTCTGGATGATAGAGTTCTGGAAGGTAGAGGTTCTGGAAGGTAGAGGTTCTGGAAGGTAGAGGTTTTGGAAGTTAGAGGTTCTGGAAGGTAGAGGTTCTGGAAGGTAGAGGTTCTGGAAGGTAGAGGTTCTGGAAGGTAGAGGTTCTGGAAGGTAGAGGTTCTTGAAGGTAGAGGTTCTGGAAGATAGAGGTTCTGGAAAGTAGAGGTTCTGGAAGATATTCAAAACTGAGGGGGAAATAGGCAAATTTTTAATCAGGTTGTACCTGGTACAATGAGCATTTTGACTCTTTATTGGCTACTGAAGAAGGGGATTGAGCAGATTGGCGAATGTCCCAAGTGCAATGATATCAATTCTTGATTCAATCATCCATTCATTCAGGATGATAATGATAATAGTCTTATGTTATAAATATGGTCATACGGGCTGATATATAAAGGAGAGATGAATAGTCTAATACTAGGTTTCACAAGAACGTAGCAATAGTTATTTGTTTTTTGTTTATGTAACCACAACGTGCCGTGCCTTGTAAAATGATAATAATTGTTCAGTTTAAAAATGTGCTTTATTTAAGGTTAAATATTTTATCATTGTGTTTGCTTTACTAAAATTTAGAGCTAGAACTATTGGGCTGAGAGGCCTGACTTCATTACTTCAGGTTTTGCCCATTTGGGTATGTCTGTCGAGAGCGACAGGTAAAGCACATACTCAATAGCTCCAGCGACGAACCCCAGGAATCTCTGTTAAAAACTGCACGCGTAAACCAAATAATGCATCCATGAAATAAACCTACGCCCATCAGATCGTGAGGTAAATGACTTGACCACTTCACCATGGAGACCCCCATCACCATATGTTTGACAAGCCTAACGTGTAAAAAGAGTCCTTTATTTGTTTCTTTGATTACCAGGCTGCCCTTAGTCGATGCAGCCAGCCCTTGTCTGGATTCTCTGCCCGCTGTATGGAGGACGAGAAAATGTTAGAGTCCATTATGAAATCCAACCCTAAGTCCGATGTCATGTATGTAGTGGACACACGTCCTATGGTAAGAGTCTGTGTTTTCTACGTGGAGCTCTGTTTTCTGTGTAGAGTCCAGCTTGCATGTGGTGGACAAAAGGCGGGTGTTAACTGCTTTAATCTCCTTCTTGTCTGTCTCCACTTATAGTCCCATTTGTGTGTAATGGACATGAGGTCGATGTTAACTCTTTGGGTCCCAGGGAGTTTACCATCAGAGGCTCAAGGGGTAGTCAAGAGAGATGCATCTGGCATTCACCGGGCTTCTAGGTAGGAACCTATGAATGTATGATGCTTCCTTAGGACTAAGAGAATGAACAATGTCATGTTTTCTGTGTAAATAGCCCCTGGAATACTAATTTGTATGTAAATATCTTGAAAAGATATCAAATCAAACGAGAAGAAGAACCAGTCAACTTCATAATATCACAAGCACAAGTAACGAGTAAATGTTGCGGCTAGATAGTCTTCATCAGCACATTACATAAATCTACAGTACAAACAGGAACACACAAATTCACTTAGCTGATGTACCTTTGACAGAAATCACATATCAGTCTGGCTAGTAAAATGTATAACACATGTATGGTCACCCGAACTTAATACTGACCAGAAAATGTCATGCGTGACAGGGGCTGTAACTGAAAGATATTAGATAAGATTATATGTGTTTGGTAGACAGGAGATATCTGGTAATAGTTTCAATGTTGTCTATGTAGACTACCAGTGTGGAATAGATATGGTGAAAACATGATCCATAACAATTAACTTTTTGTGATATATGACATTAACTACTTTGATTAATTTCAATGTCACGGAAACAAGCATATTAGCAACAGTCTAATTTTTCCAACATTTTTCCATTTGGTCCTAAAGTTAGGTTGCTGTTTTTACCTGACATATGAACCTAAAAAAATGAAGAAATGAGTAGTTAAGAATATTTCAGGTATTTGTTTTTGTGTTCACTTTCAGAAAGATGGTGGACACGTTGTGTTGGGGTTTACAGCGAGCTGCAATATCTTTGGTCGATCATATCTGATTTTAACAAACTCTTAATCAGTCACCTTTTGCCACATGTTTGTTGGGGGCAGTGGATCAATTCTTCCCCCCCCCCCCCCATATATAATCGGGGGCCCCAGAAAATCTAGAGAAGCAGAAAAAGAGCTTTCTTTGAACAGCTTTGTCTCAGCAGTCATTTTGTTTCTTTTTCTTGGCATTCACCTGCTGTAATCTCCAGCAGAAAGTTCTGATTGTTTGTTCACTTCTGGACTTTATTCTGGATCCAGAACTTCTGTTTTGCATGCACATCCGTTTTACAGATCTGGCTTTTTTGAAGCACTACTAGTTTTTAGTCTCTCAAACAGATGTATACTGACATCGAAAACAACACTCCTAATCAGTAAGCTTGTATTACATGTTTGTTAGGAGACGGTGGGTCTCCCCCCTCCCCTTCCCTTTAATTACATTCTTGTTAGGAGACAATGGGTCTATTTCCCCCTCCCCTTGTTACACACTTGTTAGGAGACTACTGTTAGGAGACAATGGGTCTATTTCCCCCTCCCCTTGTTACACACTTGTTAGGAGACTATTGTTAGGAGGCAATGGGTCTATTTCCCCCTCCCCTTGTTACACACTTGTTAGGAGACTAGTTCTACTCCCCCCCCCCCCTCTCCCTTTTCCAAATACACACTTTTTAGGAGACAGCGCGTCACGACCCCCCCCCCCCCTCACCAACCACCCCCAATTACGCACTTGTTAGCAGCAGGTCTTTCTCCCACAAACACACACATTTATACACACACAGACACACACACACACACAAATGGACCCTGGAACCCACAAAGGAAGTCTGTATAGCAAATAGCCAAAACTGACTAGCCTGAAACCCACAAAGAAAGTCTATATAGCAAATAGCCAAAACTGACTAGCCTGGAACCTACAAAGAAAGTCTATATAGCAAATAGCCAAAACTGACTAGCCTGAAACCCACAAAGGAAGTCTATATAGCAAATAGCCAAAACCGACTAGCCTGTAACCCACAAAGAAAGAACATATAGCAAACTGTCCAAGCCAACTGAACAAAAGATGTATGTTTAATTGCTGCAGCATATAATACAGTTAGAATTAAACATAGGACAACGGTTCATGTCTTCTCAGTCTCAACACAAGAGGGAGCAGCCAGCAGAACTACACTGAGAACACTGCTGCAATGGAGAATTAGGCCTATGTGGGAATGCCCATGATGCAGTGATGTTGATCATAATAACAAAATAACATAACTGTGTAACCTTCTCCTTCGAACGTCACATGTGTACTTGTATTCATCATTTCGAGGTAATTTTACTCAGTAAACAGGTATCTTTAATCTTCATCTCCTACATCGCTTGCTTTTTCTTCCTGTTATTGAAATAATGTCTGCATAATTCCTTTCTAATACACAACTAATGAAAGCTTTCACGTGTCACCACTAATTAGATCCCTGTACTAATAACGCCGTACACATCAGCTTCTCTGTTATTTTTCAGATCTGTAATATTTGCTTCAGCATGTTCCGGAACTCGGTTTTTCTTGATAATAGAATAATGTCTTGACGTGATTATCAATTAGCCATTACGTGATTTATTTCACTCCAAGACTCGTTTTCTCTGTCCAGTAACAATGTTTTCTCGCTGGTTGGCTATCTGTCCAGCTGTGGCATACTGCTGCGATTGATGTTCTGTTTAAAAAATGATATTTCTAGTTTTATAATTCTTCTTCTTCTTCTTCTTCTTCTTCTTCTTCTTCTTCTTCTTCTTCTTCTTCTCCTTCTTCTTCTTCTTTTTCTTCTTCTTCTTCTTCTTCTTCTTCTTCTTCTGCTTCTGCTTCTGCTCCTCCTCCTGCTTCTCCTCCTCCTCCTGCTTCTCCTCCTCCTCCTCCTTCTTCTTCTTCTTCTTCTTCTTCTTCTTCTTCTTCTTCTTCTTCTTCTTCTTCTTCTTCTTCTTCTTCTTCTTAAAGCAAACAACTATAAACAGACTGAAAAGACAAAACTTTCACCATCTATCAAAATTTTACTACTACTAAAAAAAAAAAAGTGACATCCTTTTTAAAGATCCTTCAACCTGAAAAATGATCAAGGCATACAGCATAGACCTACAGCCTAACTATACAGTCACAACAATAATCCCAGGCATAGACAGAAAGGCTGAAGAATGTGACCTAGTACTGCGTGCAAAGACCCTTGAACATGTCTACAACTGTTATCCACAACTCAAATGGACACACATGTACACCGATGGATCATTGGAGGGCGCAGGAAAAATATGAAAGAGCTGGATCGGTCATCATGCTGCTAGATGGGACCATAGTAGAAACGGCATGCGCCTCCGGAAGACTCAGTTTAGAATTCATAACATTGCAACTGAAAAAGGTAACTTGGTTTTTAACTATGTAATTTAGAGTTTATAGCCTTACAACTGGAAGTAAGTTGATTTGTTTCAAACTACGTAATTTAGAGTTTATAGCATTACAACTGGAAATAAGTAGATTTGTTTTAAGCTACATAATTTAGAGTTCAGCTTTTAAAAGTTGTGGTTGCCTTGCTAATGCGCGACTTGGTTAATGACGCCATACTTATTGATTAAAATCCCTAAAGTGTGTTCAGGTATGGGTTTTGAGTGGGAAAATTACGGTATGAGAGTATTTGAAGTGGCAAATCCTACTTGTGGTATCTTCTCTGTGTGTGTGTGTGTGTGTGTGTGGGAGTGGGTGGGTGTGGGTGTGTGTGTGTTTGTGTGTGTGTGTGTGTTTGTGAGCGAGAGATAGAGAGAGAGAGAGACTACTTTGTCTGCTTCAAAATTTTCCTCCAGATAAGTGTTTATAAGAGGATTGTGTCTTTCGTTTGATCAAAATCTCTCTCTCTCTCTCTCTCTCTCTCTCTCTCTCTCTCTCTCTCTCTCTCTGCCTCTCTCAGTCTCTGTGTGGCTGTCTAGCTACCTCTCTTACACATTCATTATAAAAATTTCTTTCAACATCTCTTATTTTTTTCATGTCACCTGCCAAAACTTCTGCATTTGACTTTCTTTTTCCTTTGTGATATACGTAATATTTTTCTAAATATTTATATCTCCGTGCCTCGATTTTAATTTTTAACTGCTAGTTCGGTTCCCACTTTACGTCCCAAATAGTAATAGCTATTGTATATACCATCAAACAACTGGATGCTAAATTAAAGTAGAGACACCGGATAATAATGAAAGTACCTAGATGCTTTGTTGGGAAAAAATCGTCACGTTCAACAAGCATCCCTGAAGAGGGAGCTTTAGGTTATAATTGCGACTAGGTTATGTGCGCCATATAAAATAGTTTAGCATTGCACGCCACCAAGAGCCCTGAAACTGGCCGTGGCAATTTTGATGCGATCAAAAAAGACACATAAATGCTGTCCCGACCGCCAACGAACTCGTCTACCGGCGAGCCAATGCGCGCCCCGGTCGCCGATTACAATAATAAATAAAGATAGTTAATTTCCCTACGTGACGACATGGAAAGTTGTGAAGATATAAATAGATCCGGCTCTCCTCCGAACAGCGTCATAATATTATGGTGGCCATAAAGTATCCGAAAATATCCGAACGGGGCTCAGGCATATCTAAAATACGGACTTTCTTCTGCCAAGGAACAAATCGCGGCAAAACTAGGATTACTTGACAATATGAACATTGTACACGGTAGTAGCAGACGATAAATACCGACCGTTGACAATTTCGAGCGTTTCTGCAGACGATACTAGCAGACTATATTAGCAAACGTTGACAATTTCGAGACATTACAAACGATGAAAGCGATATGGCGGGTAGACCACGCGCTCCCACGCAGATTAGCAATACTATTCGTCTGATTGAGGATTTAGTAGATGTCAGACCTGCCGACCTGTATCCTCACACTTTTCGGCATGCGCAAAACGTGATTATACTTACCGCCCAGTGTATCCCCTGCGCCGTTACGCGCGGCGCGGATGGAGGAAGGGGGGCTAAACTAGGTGCATGGAGATGC